TCGGACGCACCGGGCGAAGCGGCGAGGGCCTGGAGGGTGAAGATGGCCACCACGCTGATACAAACAAAGGAATTGGCAGAAACAAATCAGCACTCCTCCCTTCCGTGCGCTTCTCTTGGCCTTGTTTTGAAGGACCTCCAGTACCGTGAGCATGGTCTCCGTGAAGCGGCGTTCGTGTCCTTTCAGCGCATGTCGCGCCAGCATCACAGCCAGATGGAAGATGCTTAGCCGGCCTCGCATCATTCAGTCCAAATGCTCGTTCACGTGGGTTGGGACACCAACACGGTTGTCAGTCAAAGCCACCCCCCAATTGGATTGTAAAACCTCTATATACATATGGGGGTGTTGAAATACAATCAAGAGTCTACATGACATATTTAATACAATGGTGGAGGGTCTATTTCATTTGCAAACTATATATATCGTATTATATAATGTACAAGTGCATCGCTACTAGTAGCTTCTTGTTACTAGTAATGCCCTTAGCTACTAGTAGCGATGCACCTTGTTACTAGTAACGATGCACCTTGTTACTAGTAGCTTCTTGCTACTTACTATACTGTCCAATTACACCCTTTCGGTGCTGAAGTCGTCTCCACTCCGTCTGAGACTGAGCGATGGCCAATCCGCCTGGGTCAGCGAAGAGCACCGTCTCGTGCAGCGGAGCCCGCAAGAGAGCAGCGGTGGCAACCTGGTCACGAAGTGGTCACAACATCAGTTCTTGCAAATCTACTCTAGAGCGATGTGAGCGGCAAACAAATGTATTAACACTCTTTCCACTTTTTTTAGAGCATCTTTAAACAGTTTACAGTAAATGATGCTGTCTTGGAACAGGTTTGGAATTTAGAAGAATTGGATCTCATCCAGCATTCAAAGACTTCAGGAAAATGAATGTCTGTAATTGTAGTATTACTCTTTCTCAAATCACCTCGCCCTTTGACCCTCAACGTTAAATGGTAATGAATAAATAAGTGAATAAGTGGGAACAGCATGGACATTGCGTTGGTTCCTCAAGTTTTGGCAAACCTTTGTTTAGGGGAATGAATTCGTGGATATTCGGAGAGGGAAGCCCAAAGTTTTTGAGGGCTTCGCAAACTTAGGTGTGTGGGAAGTTCAGGTCATTCATCTTCCGTGTCGCTCAGTACCCAAACATCCACAAACCAAAGATGACCATGCAAGCCCACATCAATGACATGACTCGTGCTGGTGGAACCTGCCAGGCCGCTGGGGTCTGCCGATTCCAGGGTGAGCAGGTGTCCTCAATCATGCAGTCAGTCCATCACGCCCGAGGGCCTGCAACAGGGTCTTGTCGGTCTCGCGCACGTCACTGTAGAGGAGTACCAAGAGAAGTTGTCGAAGCACACACCTCGAAGTCGGCGCGTCCGCGGGACGCGGCGACCCGACCCACACGGGGAGCGTCCGCGTCCGACCCACGGGACAAAGACCTCGTTTGGCAGTGGAAGTCGTGGTGGCCTTCTCTGACAGATTGGCTGACTGAATGACTGCAACAGGATGTTCGCTCGCATGAATCCTGCAGGGGTCCCACAGCATCTTTCCCACACGAACCGAGGGGTCCCAGGTTGACCGCAAGCTATGATTTCGCGAGTGCCAGATCAGATCAGAGAATGAATTCGGACTCGTGTGTCGCTTCCATCTTCTGTTTCCACAGCAACTGAAATGGTCTGTGACTTAGGGGGAAACATCCAGACTAGCTCTGCTCACCAGAATTCAGCAAATTGTCCGTGTATTTTCTTCCGATGCTTCATCAGGAACAGAGACATGGAAATTCAATCACCAACAACACGCTGACAAAGGCGGCTCCAGCTCGTGACAAAGCCAAGGCACTCCTCTTGGAGGTCCAATGCCTTTGAAGGCTTTGAAGAAAAAGATCAAGAGTCGAGAGCATGGAATGGAAGCATGCCCTTTGGGTGGTCTTAAATGGATAGAAGCCTTTCTCCCCTCACCAAGGTAAGTTGGCAAAGACTGAATGAACAAATCAACAAAGCAACGACACCCAAGCACTCAAGCAAGATCATCAGTGGAAAGATACAACAAAACTATACAAAACTTGTAGAAACAAAAACACCCGATGGTGGGTGTCCTGCCTGGAGGGTTTTGCGCAAGAGGCTCGGACCGCAAAGGGCCTTATTGAGACTCCAAACCTCTGGATCCAGCGCCAAAGCCACACGGCCCAGCAAGGCTTGCTCCCTGGAGATGGCCTCCGAAGTAATGCCCGGCCGGCGGCCGTGACTCCGTCTCTTCCACGTCACCGGTGGCCTCTCACTCTCTGTGATCCCCAAGACCGGGTCCAATGACTCAGACAGCCACTTCGAGTGCATCTGACATGGAGGTCTTGGTGACACCAATACACCCGATGAGATTCTGAGATCCAAAACACATCACAAGCATCACAAGCCACAGGTATTCACTTTCAGAGCAGGACAGCGCCTGAGGTTCGAGAAACATGAATCAGTGTTCGAAGAAAGCATCCCAAACTGTCTAAAGAATCGACCTGGGACGGAAGCTTGGGCGCATTCTCAGAACAGGCTCGCTTGTCCTTGCTAGTAGTAAGGCCAGGAGCCCGAACGTAGCTTCTTGTTACTACTAGTAAGGCACTTGTTACTAGAAGCGATGCACTTGTTCCTAGTCTCGCTTTGCCCATAGGATTCCAGGACGGGTTCTTCCATCACCCGTCCGCACGGCACGTCTGCGCAACGCACGTAGACGGCCTCCTGACCATGTAGCAAGGCCTCGATGCCCTCTTCGGCCACCTGACAAGGGCTTCCTAATCTCCTGATTTTTCGATAGGAAGCTTCAGGGAAAGAGGAAGAGAGGAAGACCCCTATGGCCTCTTCCTCTTCCTCTTCCTCTTCGGCATCTTATTTCCTCAAAATCTCGTAGACTTTCGAGACAGCAGCTTCAGGGTTGACTCGTTCTCCTCCCACCTTCCACCAGTCCGGGCGCGACAGCAAGCAGCACAGCGCGCGCTCGGCCGCGAGCTCGCCATGGAGGGGATCGGAGAGCAGATGACCCACGAAGGTCAGGAGAGAGGACATCTCCTGGGAGTTGGCCGAGTCCCCCAGCGGCCAGGCGTGGTCGGGCGTGAATTTGCGGCGACCAGCGAAGGTGAACGGAGCATTTTTCTGGAGGGGCAACTTGGAGTGGTAGCAGAAAGGGAACGAATTCAGTAGGGAGAAGCTTCAGGATCTTTCAATACACCGGCCCAATCCATGTATAACGTAGCATGTGTCATGTTGAAGAAGACAGTCGGAAGAGAGTAGAAATCCTATGAACATCTAAGTGCAAAAAAAAGGCGCTCGGCCTGACTGCCACACAAACCCAAAAGGATGCTGACACCTCCAAGCCTCGACAGACTGAGCGGATGTCCGCGCCAAGCGTTCCAGCATACACTGGCACTCACGCTGGACAGCCACGACGGTATCTTCCAGTCCTTGCCTGGGGCGCTTACCATGCTCACTCAGAGAACTCTGTATCGCTCTGGTGGTCCAAGACCATTGAGTGGCGCAAAAATGAATCTTTGGACTTCTGGAGTATGTACTGTATATCTTTGTGTACCTCTCAGAGTGTTGGCGATGGATTGCGGACCCCCAGCTCTGTTTGTAGCCTGATGGCCAACGATGATCAGGTTCATGCCCATATCCCACAGTAGCTGAACCGTGTAGCTGTGATGGATGTAGCTTGGCTGCACAGCAGTCCTGCCTTCAAGATCCTAATATTGAAAAATGCGCAGGTGATTGGGAAAAGTTTGCCCTGCACCGGTAGGTGGCTTGATCCGTGCCTCAAGAGATGTGTTTGGCAAATGAGATGTATGCAAAAGATCTATGAACATCATTGAATTGAACATCTACCACCACTTCCCTATTAGGTGTAGGATGACTTGTCATCTTCATCGCTTTCGCGTCCACTCTCTACAAGGCTTTTGACACAGGTCTGGCGGCATACATCGTAAAGTATTCACCAACCACGGGATTTATTTTGGGAGATTCAGAAGATTTCAGACTTTATATCATCAGAGTCATCAGTTTCTACAGTTTCTGGGTTTTGGGGTCACTCTCAGCACTTGCTCCGGCCTCAGCACCAGCGCCAGCTTCGCCTCGCTGCCCTGCGCGCGAGCACCGCGGGCAGCCAGGAGGCCGAAGAGTGTGAGACGGATGCGGGGCACAGTGTCCATAGAGCGATCCAGCAAGAGATCCCACCTGGGTGGTGTGTGGCCGGAGCTGACTGAGACTGAGACTGAGCCGAGAAAAAGAATTCAAAATCCAAATGAGAAGCTCAGCTCAGTGGTGAGAATCGGATGGAAAAGGTCACGAATCACCGAGCCACCAATGTCGATCCAAGTGCAGCGCCTCCTCAGCCTGCGAAGGTGGCTTCGGCAGAAGCTTGACCGCTGCGTAGAAAGACAGCTGCAAGTGCCTATCTTCTAAGAGGGTGCTTCCATTTATGCTTCCTACAAGCAGCTCGTGCCAAGGTTTAGAAATTCCTCCAACAAGAAACTGTTCCGCTCTTTGTTGGTTGGAGCCACCACCTGCTGAAGCGATACGTCAACAGTATCACCGACTCCTTCCAACTCCAAGGAGCTCTGTCCACAAAAAGAAGCGAGACGGCGCCAGTCCCCAGTGGGGCTCATGTAGGGAAAGGTATGAAATATTGGATCTTCCCCTTAAAAGCCGTCTTCTACCTCCCTCCCTACCAGGACCTCCCGCGGCCATTCTCGGTCCTGGAGCACCTCCATCTGCTGCAAGGCCTGCAGCCGTACCGCACTCGTGCCATCACTGCACGCCAGTTCGACCAGCGCACAAAGGCTGGGCACGGTGCCCACCAACGCCAGCCCGGGCAGAGCTGCCAATCCTGGGTTCGGACCATCCTGGGGATCAGTCTTCTCTGAGTGGGGCATCTGGAGGGCCAATCCATGGTGCTGTAGGATTTTCATACACCAACCAGAGTACTGACCGGGTGGGTGGTGATCTGTTGCACCTGGTGGGCACGTCCACCCGAGCACCTGCGGTCCAGGAGTCTCACGGGCGCAAACTGGTCGGAGGCCAAGCGAACGAACACGGCCTGGAGACCGCGGGGTACGAATGACGAAGAAGTCAGGAACTCCCATATTGCCAAGGCCTATGTGGGTGTTTTAAAATAGGGAGACCTCCCAAAGCCCCCCGTGGAAGAAGGGACATAGACCAAAACCGACTGGTTGGGGTCCCCCTGTAAACATACACACCAACGTAGAGAAAAAAGAAGCAGCTCTCACTGAGGTGGGCTGTACCAGGCCTCCTGGCTTTGGCCTGTGCTTGCAGGAGCAGCCGTCAACAACTTCTGTAGTAACAAGGCACCTGACACAGAAGTCAGGGGCACTCAGGCGATCAGGAAAGCCACCTCTGTGCAGGTTTACGCATACAGTACCCCACTATACTAGGAGTTCCCTGTCCAACAAGAAAAAAACACATGTTAACAACTTGGCGCAGGAGAAGCGGTCGGAAAAAAGAAAGTGGGTAGCAATTGGTGGGTGACAATTTGTCGACGACAAGTGGTTGGAGACAATTGGTAGGTGACAATTGGTTGGTGACAATTGGTTGATGGCAATTGGTTGATGACAATTGGTGGATGACAATCAATAGGTGACAATTGGTTGGTGGCAATTGGTTGG